CATTGTGAACGGTGTCGATGTGTTGTTCTGCATTGGCACTGCTCCTTGTACCCTATAAGTAGGGAAAATAGACATATGACAGGTGCCCCTAGGGAGATATTTAAATATATTTCAATATTTTATATTTAAATATAAAATAACATGCTAATTTCCCTGTCAAGTATTGAACTCCTTCTTTTAAAGTCTTCCCAAGTATTAGACATTTTTCAAGTTATATTTTTACAGAGCATTTAGGGTACTTCCTAGCTTTTAGGAGGAGCTTCTTGCTCCCGTCTTCTGCCGTAAGCCTCACTTTGGAGTATTCTTAGTTGTTATCAATTGTTGTTGTTGCCTCCACCTCACCTCTCTACCTTCACTCCCCCCTCGCCGCAGTTTGTTGTTGTTATAGCATTTAAGTGCAGCTTGTTAATGCTCATTAAATGTTAAGGGAGCTGTGAGCTGTGAGCTGGCTCTGAGCCGAACCGAGGCGAGACTCTCCAGCTCAGCTCCATGGCACTTGTCAGAGCCTGAGCCCTGCCACAAATTGTGGCAGAGTTGGATCCCCGGAGCTGTGGGCTTTAGTTTCATAAAATGAAGCGAGCCAGAAAGTCGCGGCGGGCGCGTTAAAAAGGAAAACAACTTGGCCTTTCGGCACTAAAATAGTCGGAAAACACCCGAAAAACGATCGATGACACTGTGAATAAAAGTTTCAGCTATAAAATCTATAAGGAAACTAAAAACTTAAACCCAAAATAAGCAAAGGAAAAACTTAAATGTAAATTGAAAAATCAAAACAAAAATCAACTTCGTGTACTTCCTTTTTAATACACAGAGAAAAATAATCTCAGTAAAAGATTTTGATGATGACACTGTGAATAAAAGTTTTAGCTATAAAATCTATAAGGAAACTAAAAACTTAAACCCAAAATAAACAAAGGAAAAACTTAAATGTAAATTGAAAAATCAAAACAAAAATCAACTTCGTGTACTTCCTTTTTAATACACAGAGGAAAATAATCTCAGTAAAAGATTTTGCCAAATAATAAATCCAAATTGTTATGAAAATAAAAATAAAATGTTCAATAAGATTTAGTTTTTACATTTTCCTGTATCTACAATATTGTTAAAAGATTTATGAGATCTGTATTGCAATGTTTGAAAACTTACTTTAAGGGCATGGATTTGAAACTCTCTACTCTGAATCCTTTATCCTTTATCTAAGGAAAATCCAGTGAATTTTCCAATACTTTGATTTATTTTCTGTGTATCACTTCATCATCGTGATCAGTTCATCATTATTGTGATCATCAACATTGTTGTCGTCGCGTGAAAAACCTGTTCACTTGGGAAAAAGGCTTCGTGTTGTTATTATTATTGTTGTTGTGGCTATGTGAAGCTAATTGAAAAGAAGTATTAACAACGCTGCCTTTTGTTTTTATACCTTTTGATGATTGACTGACCGACCGACCAACCAACACGAAGGAGTCGCACGAGCAACAGGGGGAAGTCTAGAGAGTCTTCTTGTATCTGGCATGGCATAATTGTGGGATCAACCGGCAGCAGAACCAAGCCAGTTAATTAGTAATGCAAAGCCAATGCCTACTCAGTCACTCAGCCAGGCAGTCATTCAGTCATTCAGTCATTCAGTCACTCAGCCATTCAGTCACTCAGTCAGTCATTCAGGCAATTGCTTAGAAATTCGATTTGTATTTCCACTGATCGACAGGATAAGAATTCATCCGTCTCGGAGGAGAGCGTGTGAATCCCCCAACCAGAGATGAAGATACGCGGGAATCGTATCTAATGTGACAGCTGAGGGTAGCTAGATAAGTATCTACAAGATAATAAGAGGCGGTAGGATGTCCAAAAGGATTTATTTATTGGGGATGGAATGGGAAATTGATTTGACAGTAGGTGATGTAGGTAATCTTTTTATGAGTTTAATTTAATAAACTGGATTTATTGGTATTAAAAAAATAAGAAAAACATACATTTGTTTAGTTATTTAATTCACTGCCTTTATTGAATATCTTAAATAATTCTTATAAATATTTCAATACAAAAAAAAAAACAAACTTCCTATTATTCAGTTTAACCTTAAGAGTTCCATTTTGTTCCCATTTTAATAAGGAATTATTTAAGTTTTGAATAATAATTATCTTTACGATCTATATTCACTAGAACTCAAAGCAAAAGTGAAATGTTAGGGATTCTATTAAATAAATTAAAGCTTTGTATTAGGAACTCATATTTTCACAATAAATAAGCTCTTTAAAATGAATAGGTATTCAGAATATTTAAATTCTACAAAACATAAACAGCGACTTTCATTATTTTATTAAGGAAAACTCCGAATACTTTCAATATCCCAAGTATTTCCTTAAAGTCCTAAAAAGAAGATTGATTGTGTATCAGAATTTCCTGTCCCATTTCTTGATAAACAACCGATTGGTCTGTAAACAAACATATCTATATCTTTGTGAATGAGATACATCTATTTCCATCTTCCTGCATCTTGTATCTATATATCCTCAACCGATCCAGACGAGCGTGCACACATGCGCATTGTTTGGCTTTAAAACAACACGACCACAACTCTAATTCGCATTAATTTAAAACTCAATCAAGGCAATTAGCGCGCACACTGGAGCGACACTCACGATCGCTTCGGCTCCCACCGGCCCCCTTCTGGTGTTCCTGTGCCCCCTCTTTAATCTTCACCGCGCCACGTCCCTGCCCACACACCGCACACGCATGCGAAGGATTGATGTGTTAATAGAGGATGGGGTGTTAGGGCTATGGGATATCCTGGCAGCTTACTTATAGTTATAAGTTAAAAATTGGTATTAAGTTTTTCATTTTTAAAGAGTTGTTTAAAAGTTAAATTATTTCATTTACTATATCCTAAATTATACAAATTAAAGCTTAAAAATATTGTAAGCAAGCTAAGGCCATTATACCATGACCATGTTCTTTCTGAAAAAAAGATAGCATACCTTTTGGCGCATTCTACCGAAATAGGTTTAACAGGTTAACTTCAACCAAAAATTTAAATACTTTTTATATAAATTTCTTAGACTTTTGTGAAAGTATTTCGTAAACGGGGATAAGCATATTTAAATATTTATCAAATCTATTATGTTTAAAATAAACTTTAACAGATTTTAAGATTGTTTTATGGGAACTACCAATAAAGTGTCCTTCAAATTCCAATTTTGACCAAACAAATTCTCCGATTGATTTAAATGTTGGGATGTAAAGAGATATACAAATTAATCATATATGCTGATCACCCAAAAATAAGTATCTTTAAAACTATATCTTTAGCATCAAATCAGGAAGCGTGAGAAAATATCATGATATCATAATTCCATCCTCCTTGTCACACACACTGCCCCATCATACCCCATAGCTCCACGAGTGAGTCGAGGGTATCTTACATAAATCTCAGCCAGTGGCAACATTGTAACATAGTCGACTCTGTTGGATCAGACGCAGCGACATCCGGACAGCCGGTCGCACAGCTGATTCCGATTCTCGAGACTCGCTCGCCGCCTGGGCGAACCAGTTATATCGCACTATACTCTATATATGCTATATATGTTATATGGAGTGCAACCTACCTCACGCTGACACGAACACACGCGAACACCGAACACCGAACACCCCTCACTCTCTCATACCACACAAACACACACTCGTGTACGTACAGCTGTCGTGTGTGTGTGTGGTTGTTGTGTTGCATAAATTTGCCAGAAGTAAACATTTCAATAAGCCTTGGAGGCATTGTTTCTTGGCAAACTTTCATTGAGATTCTATATGCGAAAAAAAGCAGGAGAAAAATCGACAAAGATTACGCGTACACATGGGTTCTTATCAGCGGCATGGGGAATACGAGGAAGAGGAAGAAGCACCGGGAGAGCAAGTGTACACAGAGAGCGAGAGTGATCGGATACAGTGGAGATTCTATAATTTAAATAAACGAGGGATTTATTTAAATCAATTTAATTGATATTATTAATATATCTTAATTTGAATTTATAATTACATTTTAAATTTCCAGAATTTTATTTAGATGATTTTATATATTATATTAGTATTTTATTTTAATACTTTTTAAATTCCTTTAAATTGTTGTATCAAACTCAAATATTGTTCTTGTGAAGAGGAAGCTAATTAAGCCTAAACTTAGCACAGAAAATACAGCTTCAATTCAATGTGAATAAAATATTGATTAACAATTTATTTCAAATAATAATATATGTATACCTTAACTCAAAAAAGGATATATTGACTTTCAATTACAAGTTAAATATTTATTTCAAATTATAATATATATTTTAACTCAAAGAAAGTCCTAATCCATTTTCAATTAAAATTGAAATACAAATATTTTGCTTTCTAAAATTGAAACACTTATTACTTTCTCTAAAATCATAAAGGGTGAAAGCAGATATTTATGTTAGGGACATTTAAAAAAAAAAAATTAAATATAAGTTTTGCTTTCTAAAATTTAAGCCCAATTATTTCAATATAAAATACCATATAACAGTATTTCTTAGCGAAGTTTCCCTGTAAATCTCTCACACAGCGATAGAACATCAGGGGAAGCCGGTGAGCGGGAGCAGCAGGCCCGAAGAACCTTACTCACTGCAAACGGATTCGAACAGCTGGTCCGAAGATCGGTTCGAGATCGGCCACAGATCGATCTATTGATTCGATGGATGGATCGGATCGGATCGGATCGGATCGATCAGCGGAGGCACTGGCACTGGCACTTGTTGCGTGGTTCGGGTCCGGTATCGGTTCTCTATTAAATCACCTCGGACATCGTGAGCGCCCGATCGCAATCGCGATCGTTTTTGGGCTCGGGAAATGTGTGATTGTGTGAGAGTGCCGAGTGATCTTAGTATCTGTGTGTTTGTGTGTGTGTGTGTGTGTGTGTGTGCCTGCGTTGGGCTCGGCTCGGCTCAGCTCAGAATTTCCCCCATTCATAGTCAGTCTTTGACTAAGCGTAGCTGTCGTCGCAACCAAGTGATCGTGGAGGAGCCAGGTGGAGATCGGAGATCGCGCTCGGATTGGGATATTGATCGGGATTGGGTACCGGGATTAGGGAGTCCTCTCTTTTTGGGGCTTGGAAAGGTGCCACGGTTTATAATGTTTAATATCAAATAGTATTCCAATTAACAATTATGATCGATCAACAAAAACAACAGAGTCCAAAAGTGCAATGTCTGTCTGTGATTAGAAGTTTCTATTGTGTTTTCCTCACCGCACCAGAAACTGCGATTAAAGGTTGCTTTAAATAATAACAACAATCCATATAAATGTGCAATATAACAACTGAAAGTGATGTTAAAATATTTCTAAAATATTTGCAATGTTCTAAATTAAAAAATCAAAGTGATAAGCCAAGCATTAGAGATGCAGTGCAATTAGAAATGTTTACAAATCGGATCTTGCCGGTATAAGGATATAACTTATTGGATTTAAAACGAAATCATCTTAAAGTGGTAAGTGTGATTTGGAAGGTGTAAAAATAAATAGTTATCTGGGATGTAAGATATAACTTAACTTAATTCCGAGATTTTATAATATAAACAATTCATTTTGATCTACTTCACCGATTTCCTTCTAAATTACCTAACTCGTGACAGTCACCGAATATCATTATCCATCCATTTCCACATCATAAAAAATTCCGTGAAATAACAAATAAATTTATTAAATATTTACACAACCGCAGTAGTTAATCATAAAATTCAATATGTATAAAATAACATCGAATTCAACTTCAACAAAATATTTAATAAATATATATATATTTGTGTGTATATATCTTGGAAAATAAATCGTGTTATACTTCGGCAAACAAACGCATTAAATTGCAATTAGCCGCCTCTCAGCTCCAGTTCTCTCTCTTCGCTGCCTCCAAACTCTTCTCACGGCTGTCTCGGGGCTCCATTTATTTATTTATTAATTTTTTCCCCCCATTATTATTTCATATTTATCAGCCAGCACGAGCGTTTTCAAGTGTAACGCAATAAGAAGGAATAATAATAATAATAATTTTTGATGATTTTCTTTTGTTATCAATTATGTGAGAGAGCCTCAAGTTCATTATCATCGTAAAAAAATACAAACAAAAAAAATCCCCATCAGCTGGAGCCTCTCGTTTTTTGTTGTTATTTCATCTGGTTTGGAGGGAAAAAAACGGATTGTAAATTCATAAAATATCTCCTCTTTCCAAAGTGAATGCCAGTCGATTACGTTTTTATTTGAATTTTTGTATTTTTTTTTTCGGTTTATATTTTTTATTTTTGTTTGGTACAAATTGCGAATGCAACGTGCATTGACCGAGAGATTATAATTATTTTGGGGTCGATGTCGATGATGATACATTTGCCTGAGGGTTGGGTCTTTGAGGGGAAACAGTGGGTGGAGGTTATGGGGTTTATATTTACAAATCACAAAAAATCACAATCCACAATCCCTTTAATAATAAATTCTCTTACCTCGTAACCTTTATATTTATTGATTAATAATTCAAAAAATCTGAATATTAAGTACATTTTATTCACTTTTCATTGGCCTGGTTCTACTGTATCGAGTCACACGCCTTCTTACCTTGTTAGGGTGTTATATAAATATCCCTCCTGTTTTTTTGTCCGAAACTCCACACGAATTCCGAGACATTGTTCTGCGATCATTTTTCACCTTCCTTTTTCGATTGGATTTCGATCGACACGCATTTTGCTGAGGCATCAAAGAACCCAGCTCGGGTGTTGGGCCAAAAATTATTCCTCAAAATATTCAACCTTTGGTGGCGACAGGCTGTCCAAAAAGGCACCTGCAAATAAGTTAAAAATAATAAAGACTTTCCAGTTAACAATATAATTAAAACGTAAGTGCGACGTTGCCAAAAAAAATTGTAGAAGAAATAACAAAAAAAACCACGCGACGACAGGCCACAAAATGTGACACAAAAACGGAAAACTGAAATAATTTCTACCAAACATTTTTGCAAAATAAACAAGTTTATGTTTTCATCAGAATTTACATACATCTATATATAAATCCGTAATATATATGCCGATTGATTCTTAATTCGGCATTTATCCGTGGCTATTTTTATTGGCACATTTTTCACATTTATGCAAATCGATAATCGAATCGAGAACCCAACGTTTTGGGCCGCTGCGCAGTTACAGAAGACCCGAGCTCAGCTCAAACCGATCCGCGATTCGCAATCCGGAGACCCGACATCAGCAGATTATGTCACTATATATATAGTATATATAAATATATATAGACGTACATATATAGAGTGCACACCGAACTCCGAAAGCCGCACGCCAAGATATCGGCCGCGATATGCTGGCTTATGGCTCATGGTCACGGCCACCGTCGACAAACGGGAAACTTGGCTTAACAATTTCTTTCCTCGGTCAGCTGTTCCCGCCAACGTCTCCTGCTCTTGCCAAAAACTAAAAAATACAAGCACAACAAATACTTGGACGAAAAGAGTTAACAGAGAGTGGTCTAAACAGGGAGAAATAAGGAGGGAGATCTATTAAGAATTATCTATTATTTGAATCTTAATTTATAAGGAAGGGTTGAGGCTTGATATATAAAAGTAAATTTACAAAATTAAATTATTATAATATAATTATATATAATTAAATTATTAAATCAATTTCAGATTGTTTTATTTCCCTTTAAAAATATCTTAAAGCCATCCTTACTTTTTGTTTAAATGGAATTCTCTTTCCATTTGAAAGCCCAGCTTATCCATTATTATAATAACTATATTTCCGGCATTATTTTTCCCTAGCTCCATCTATTATTGAATAATCCCAAATATTTCTAAATATTTCTATTCATCTAAGTCTTATTTATATATAATATTCTCCATGTGTCTACCATTATCAAGACTTTGGCTTAAGCCAGGTTCAATGTACGGACCAACGACGTGCCAAAGCCACAGCGACAAAGTAAGCCTCGCAAATAGAAATAGAGAAATTTTCTCATTAGATTTTTTGCCGTTTTTGCCGCTTCTATTTATTTTTTTTTACTCTTTTGCAAAAAGCCTCGTTCCAAACAACAACCAAACTTGCTTTCCATCCTAGAACCCGACGAAGAACCAAGTTTGGCTCAAAAGCTGGCCTCGTACGTTAGAAAGGCATTAGAAGTTGGCTTTGGCTAAAGAAAAGTGAAAGAACAAGTGAGAGATATAAGATATAAAAGTCAGAGATTTAATAATAATATCTTCATTACTCTGTTAAAATAATATTAAAAACTTGATTAAATAATTAAGAGTATTTTAGAACCTGTAAGATTTATAAGAAAGTGTTTGAGGAATTTGATAAAAACCTTTCTTTAACTTACAAAGGAAAGAATCTTTTCAAAGATGAGTGCTTTGAAGCACTCTCTTTGGCCCTAGACAACATATTTTGAAAGTCTTTCACATTACCAAATATCCAAGACCGATTCGATAATGCCCCATCATTCTTAAAGCCATAAACTTCGTTTTCTTTCATATCATTATTTGTGTTGTGGTAAACAAAAAGCCAAATTAATGACTGCAGAACCGTCCGGAATAATCAATAAGAAAGCAAGAAAACAAAATACAAATAAAAAATCGAAATTTTTATTTGCGTCTTAACCTAATTAGGAGAACCTGGCCAGGTATTGTGAAATTCCAAGATCAAAACAGAGTGAAGAGAAAAGACAATAAAAAAAACAAAATACGAGAAAGAACTTTCCCATCGATTCTCGCTTTATATAATAATCGGTTACATAATATGCTTTCTACCCACCGCTGGGTGCTTTCTTTCTCCTTCTTCTTCTTCTTTTGGCCTGGAGCTGGTAGCTGGTTTCCAAGCCGGTTTTGGCCAGATGCTTCCTCCTACCTTTGCTTCTTCTAACACAACTCTAACGATGAGAATGGAGAATGGAGCTGAGCTGTGCTGGCTGGTGGATCCATCTGCATATTAATCAGAGAGCTAGCCAGAGCGAAGAGAAGAAGGGAATTCGCAAGAATTCTTATTAAAAAGCGAGTTTGCGGCTTTGTTGTTCTAACCACGTTGGAAAAGTGAGAATCGCAAAGAACGGCGCACGCGTCGCGCTGAGAAGCGATCTGATGATGAGATGAGGAAGTGATTAGGCCCCCAAGAAGGAAGTGCTTGACGCAGATGTCTATGATTTGTATTTCCAGTTTATATTCTTCCTTCTGTGTTCTCCATATATCTTTTTTTTATTTTTTTGCACAGGCCTATAAACGAATTTGCATTAATAGCCATGGATTTGCCACACCTTTTCCCGCCCAAAAAAATATAGAGAATCCATGTGAGTGGCGTCACGTAGATAAAGACATCAGTTACCTGACTTCTTATCTGGTTCTTTTGCAAATACTAGGCACTGCTACCAGTTTTATTATTTTTTTTTGGTAGCCCAAAGTCACCATGAGGTTTTCTTTTTCGTATTCCGTATATACTTTTTTATTATTTGCCCAGCGATCGTGTGTCTATGTGGCCCGGACAAATATTAGAATCGATCAACTCAATCAGTTTTTTTTTTCTTATTCATTAATCACTGCGAGCAGGTAACCCCCTCGAGCTATAAATTGGTTACCAGCATATTTATTTAGTTTCTTTTTATATCCGGTTGGCAATAGGAAAATACAGAAAAAAGGTCTCGGAGTCTTATAGGAAAGGGGAGAACCTTTTCTCCTTTAGTCTTTACAAATCCAATAAGAAAAAGAAGAAGAGTTTTCTTTACCTTGAATTTCTGAAAAGGAAATGGAAAGAAATAGGGGTTTAATTTGATTTATTTTTGGGCATAAAGTAGTTAAGATTAAGGTAGGCCTATATCAAATGACTTTTTGATAATATAGTTTTTGTACAAATACGGGTTTCTTTTAATTATTTCTATTTGAAATTCGGTTTATTCCTGTCTCTATATTTACCCTTTAGAAGTTGTTCTATATATTCATTTGTAATCTTAAAATTTATTGTATTTCAAAAACAAAGCTTATACCATTCCTTCTTAGTTAATTTATTTGTTTATACCCTTAAGACCTTGTGAAATTTCGGGGTTATTATTATTATTCCAGACATCTAAAGCCAACCCTCTATAAACATTGTATTATATAGACTTTTGCAATCTGACTAAATTCGCAACAGAATCATTACACACATTTTTCGGCTATTAACCTTGAACTTTATCACACCTGCTGGCTGGGCTTTTTATCTTATCTTGGTGTGGAAACCACGCATAAAGCTTGTTTCTCTTTTTTTTGCTGCCTTGCAGAATAGCCAAGTATTGGGAACCGAGAACAAAAGTGTTATCGCTAGCCTGTGTTGGCAATTATAATGCAAAATCGATGATCAACCAGAAAAAAAAACAAAAAATGTGTATATAAAGCCAAATACAAATTAGTCGACCGGTTGTCTGGCATCGGGCCGAAACGTTCCAAAACTTAAGGCCAAACTTCAATTAAAAGGCCTAGAATTTGCTGGGGCAACAATTAGCATAGCATAAGTCTGGGTCAAGTGGATTAAGCCAATAAGACCCCTCCCAACTTCTATTTATTATATATTGCAGCGCCCCCATGGTAATGGCCGTGATACTGTTGCTGGCCCTGGCACTGGTACTCGGCTGCTACTGTGTGCTCCATCGTCAGAAGCTGGCCGAGATCTATCTCCGACCACTGCTGAAGGACACCCCGCTGGAGGACTGTTACCATGCTGCGCCAATTGAGTCGCCGGAGGCCACGAAAAGAAGGCGACGCCGTGGCATCTGGGATATTCCAGGACCCCAAAGGATACCCTTTCTGGGCACCAAGTGGATCTTTCTTGTCTTCTTCAGGCGCTACAAGATGACCAAACTGCATGAGGTGTATGCAGGTGAGTTCAGTTAACAAGAATTTCTTGGTATTTAATATATAATAAATAGAATGGGATAGGAATAAAATAAGCACTTAAACTTAAATAGTTGGCTGTTAAAGTTAATTAGTATAATTTAGTAGTACTTAAAAATCACTCAAGAAATAACTCAAGAACTATATAATTCCAGATCTCAATAGGCAATACGGCGACATAGTCCTTGAGGTGATGCCCTCCAATGTGCCCATTGTTCACTTGTACAATCGCGAGGATCTGGAGAAGGTTCTGAAGTATCCCAGCAAGTATCCTTTCCGACCGCCCACCGAGATCATTGTGATGTACCGCCAATCCCGACCGGATCGTTATGCCAGTGTGGGCATTGTTAATGAGCAAGGACCTATGTGGCAGCGCCTTAGATCCTCGCTAACTTCCAGCATCACTTCGCCAAGGATTCTGCAGAACTTTCTGCCGGCCCTAAATGCGGTCTGTGATGACTTTATTGAGTTGCTCAGAGCTCGAAGGGATCCGGAGTCCTTGGTGGTTCCGAATTTCGAGGAGCTGGCCAATCTGATGGGCCTCGAGGCTGTTTGCACCTTGATGCTGGGTCGCAGGATGGGCTTCCTGGCGGTGGACACCAAGCAGCCGCAGAAAATTAGCCAACTGGCAGCGGCTGTCAAGCAGCTGTTCATCTCGCAAAGGGACTCCTACTACGGATTGGGTCTGTGGAAGTACTTTCCCACTAAAACCTATCGAGAGTTTGCCCGGGCCGAGGACTTGATCTATGAGTAGGTATACACACCTTAACTTGGGCTTCTATAATATTTCCCCTTGAATCTAATCTTTAATTCCCACTAAACTTTAGTGTGATCTCCGAGATCATTGATCATGAGCTGGAGGAGCACAAAAAGTCGGCGGCTTGCGAGGATGAGGAGACGGCGGGCCTGCGCAGTGTCTTTCTTAATATACTGGAGCTTAAGGATCTGGATATAAGGGACAAGAAGTCGGCCATTATAGACTTTATAGCTGCAGGGATTGAAACGGTGCGTATTGGATCTTAATTATAATTTATATATTTATATATATTTGTTATACTTTTCAGTTAGCCAATACCTTGCTGTTTGTCCTAAGCTCTGTCACTGGCGATTCGGAGGCCATGCCTCGCATCCTTAGTGAATTCTGCGAATATAGGGATACGAATATCCTGCAGGATGCACTCACAAATGCCACATATACAAAGGCCTGCATACAGGAATCCTATAGACTGAGGCCCACGGCCTTTTGCCTGGCCAGGATCTTGGAGGAGGATATGGAGCTGTCGGGTTACTCGCTTAATGCCGGGGTGAGTTATAATATCAACAATTTAATTATTTAAGTTTTCTGTCCATCTAATCAAATTTCCTTAAGTTAATGATTTATTAAATTAATATTTTCTTTATAAATTTGTACATATTTCATTCCCAGACCGTGGTGCTTTGCCAGAATATGATTGCCTGCCACAAGGACAGCAATTTCCAGGAGGCCAAACAATTCTGTCCAGAGCGTTGGATTGATCCTGCCACAGAGAACTTTACGGTCAATGTAGATAGTGCCAGTATTGTGGTTCCTTTCGGTGTGGGTCGCAGGACATGTCCTGGCAAGCGATTTGTGGAAATGGAGGTAGTCCTGCTGCTGGCCAAGGTAAGTGGGAACCTTAATTCGTCAAGATCATTATGTTAGATAGCTTGTAATATCCTTTAAGATGGTCCTGGCCTTCGAGGTGAGCTTCGTGAAACCCCTGGAAACGGAATTCGAGTTCCTGCTGGCCCCAAAGACCCCGCTTAGCTTAAGGCTCAGCGATCGGGTCTTTTGATGATCGCAGAGCTGAGGCTGATCTGTCCCAAAACATTGCCTAACCTCGGGCGTTAAAAAATATCTAGGAACTGAACCCACTAAGTGAAGTATAGTGTAAAATATGCATAGAAAAAACCTATATCCCTTATATATCCTTGATGAGCCCAGCATCAGCAGCAGCCTAGTCTTGTGAAGCAATCTAAAGCAATTAATTAAACGCAATCAATATACATTTACATATTTATGCTGACTGGATGTATAGTTCTGTATATGTTTGTTTTTAATAATTACATACAATTATTTTAGTTATTGTTAGAGCTTAAGTAGCAGCAATTGTTTTTGAAAGACTGTTTTTAAGTTTTGTGTTTTGATATCAGCAAAGTTCTCTAAATGCTTATATATTTCCTGTATATAGTCTTGCAAATTTTTCATTCTATTTGTATGTGTGTACAGCTTAATTTTAATCGTATTTATTCAAGTGTTTATTCTATTGCTATTATTTCGTCTCTATATCTGTGAATATATTTTTGTTAAAATGAGAGAACTAATATTCAAATGAAATGAATTGAAATTATAAGAAATCAAAAGTTAAAACGAAATATCAAAATGTCTTGTCTTTTCTATGGGATTTATTTAACAAATAAATAAATAATTGTTAACGATGTACAGTAAAGTCATTTTTGGTTTAAGAATAAACTATTTATGTAAATTCCTGGGATTTATTTGCTGACTAAACTGCTGACAACTTTGGCTTGAATTTACCCCTTAATTTTCACAGTATATTTGGTTCTTTATTTCACTAAAATCCCCATGTACTGTAATTTCTTAATTAATTAATTAATCATCAACATAAATATCAAGATTTACAAATTTTATTGAAAAATATAAATCAAAACGTAGTCGTAAAACGTAATTAACAGTTTTAAAATTTTCTTTTATTTATTTTTTAAATTAAAACCTACTTTTATTTGGTTGAAGTCTTTACTATTAAGGGGAATTTCATATATTTTTTGTACAGTCGTTTACCCAGTTTTGGTACAGTCGTGTCCCCATATTTTGTACAGTAGTGTCCCAGAAGCCTCGCTACTTCTTTATTTAGTGGGTTATTACATTAAGTGTTTTAGAAAGTATTTATTACAAAATTTAAACAAAAAATATATAAAAGTCACCCTTTTTTATTCTTCTAAATATTCTCTTAATATTCTTTTCTTATATTTTATTCTGGTATTCTCTATTAATACAGGGAATTTGCATATATATGTACAGTCGCTTCTCACTTTTAAACTTCATTGAGAAATATTTAATTTTAGTTTCGGTAAAGTTTAAACAAAACCCGCAAATTATTTGGTTTATTTGCGTGACTTTCAGGTGTTAATTTGTAGTGTCGCCGTAAAATTATTCAATATTTGTTTAGCTTTTTAAATAAGAGTAGTTACACAGACAAAAATATATGAGGCAAATATTTAAAACTTGATTTTATAGATTAATTCTTCAGTCCAAAATTTGTATTTATTATTTAAAGACCATTCCGGTTTCATTTACAATGTTTCTGGAATTTTAAAGCCTCAAACCTGATTAAAATTGGTAGTAAAATAGGCTCAAATAAGGGTTACTTTATTCCGAACTCTTTTTTCCGTGTACATTTACTCTCTTTGCTTAACTTAAATTCTCTTTCGTGCGCTCAATTTGCTCTTTTTTCTTGGGCTGTGGCTGGGGCTTGTTTGGCGGGCTTTGGAGATTCAGTTTTGGGCTTTCAGTTACAATAGTTGTTGGCGTGTCGTCGGTTTCAGAGCGTTTCGAAAACCCAATTTCCGTTCCAAGACGCAGTTGAAACTAAAAACTTAGAAATTACTATTTAACGCGCGCGTAAAATACTTCAGTTTGTGCAATTTTAGTGACGGGATAAATAACTCAAAAGCTAACCCCTTTCAAACCATTAGCTGCACTTGTGTTTGCACCTCTAAACGAATATATTCTGAATTTCTGAAAAAATGTAATAAAACAGTAACCCAAATTTTAAAACACAAAACCAAAAGAGAAAAACTAAAACCAGTTTGTCATTTGCTCAGCAGTAACTAATTTTTGTAGTAGAGTTGGAAATGCACTGAACCTCTCGTCGAAAGGGAATTAATCATCTTCAGTGTCGATCTGGAGATCTGCGGAGTCTGTGAGATCGCAGGGCCCCACCCAGAGCTAATTGTACAATAAACAAGGGACAAACAAAAAAAAAAAAAACTATATACATCAGAAAGACGATCGCAGCACTTTTGTTGCTGTTGTTTTTCTTTTTGTTAGACATGCTAATTTTGCACAAATTACACAGACACTGGCTAACACACAAATTAGTTTGTTTAATGTGACTGACTCACTCACAATTTTCTCACCGTCAATACGGGCCCCTCCCCTTCAGATGCGATGTGACTTTAATTAGTTGACAAATACTCGGGGTTATTGCAATAGATATATAAACATATATATTTGATGATGGCATTTAAAAATATATTTAAGAAAAGTTAAGATCTTAGAACTTTATTTGGAAGATTAGAAAAAAAGAAAAATCATAAATAATATATGTATAGGAATAAACGCAAGACTTTATAATTATTTAAAAGGGAAGTTCATCAAACAACGAATAATTACGATTCAATTATTATTATTATTCTCTTTTTAATAATATTAAAAGCATATTTATGTTTTATTTCACAAACCAATATTAGTTCGCTTAACACTCAATTAAGGGACCTATCTCCGTCTTGGGAATTGAACCCCTTTCAATCCTTTGCCAATCCGCTTTATGGACACTGACCTTCAATGACAGAACAACTCCCCCCCCCAGGTGAACCCATGACACTAAGGTAACAACAAAAGCGAAACAAAACAATAAGAGTGACAATAACCCCAGTGTACCTGTTAGTGCCTGTAGTAAATCCCGACCAGCCTTGGCCAATTGCTTTGGCATTGAATTCGCCAGTAGCAACCCCCGAGAGAAACTCCCTCGAACGGGTAGCCACCCCCAAAAAGGGGTAGGGACCCATTCCGCCCACATCGCAAATGTTGCATGTTCACAGCTAAAACAAAGCTCAAGTCGGTGGCTAAAAAGCGGTGTGGGTCTGAATGAGGTCAAAAGCAACAACACTAGCCCGGAGCCACTATTGGCAAGAATATGTATGGTAAAACCATTGCAAAAAAGTGCAACCTGAGATTGCTAATTAGACTATGACACTTTGAGATACCCTTTTTGAAGGAAGAAAATTACGAATGACGAAAAATATTAATGTAGGTTTATACATTTTTTTTTTTAAATTAATTTGGTTAAGAGGAAATATTGGTTTTAATATAAATCATAATGTAGCTCTGATATGTATTATATACATATTATTTAAATCAAACTCCGTGAAGGAGTCATTTCCGACCACATAAATCATATAAATTCTCGATTAGCATCAAAAAACCGAGTCGATCTAGCCAGGTTCGGTTCAAAAATTATGTTTTCAAAAATTTTCAACAATTTAAAAATCCTATAAGAGGATACATCGTTAAAATTTTCAAAATTGAGAAAATTTTTAATTTATATTTAATTTAAAATGTAGTATGCAGATTTATTAACCTTCTAAAAACTAACACAAAATTACTGATTTTGTGACTTAGTTATGGTCATTTTAAATTTGGATTTCTCCTAAAAATTATCATATAAAATATATCGATTTAAAGACTGCGAATATTCAGGACCTTTTTGATTGAATAATATGTCTAAAAGCCCGTGGTAGCTAAACGTTTTACATATTTAAATTTGTAATTAAGCTCTTAATTAAATATTAATTAATTATTGAGAACAAATATTACTAAAATGTTAACAAGTTTTTGAAAATTTTAAATTTGTCGAAAATAGATACAAATTTTAATTTAGCATTCAGATTTATTTAACAAATAAAAGAATTCAAATTAGGGCAAGGGTAAACAAAGTCCGGCTTACCAAAGTTGGCTGCTATTCTTATCTTCAGTTTTAAATAGGCTTAAACTTTTCTCAGCTGAACCAAATTACCAATTTACTTACCAATAGAACTACCCCTTGGTGAAAGGGTATTTTCCTTGTTTTTGGAAAATGCAGCTGGAAAAATCGCAAAGCAACGCGGCTGCCCTGTCGATGGGAGAGAAAACTTGGGCGCTGGGATGGATGACCAAAGGCAGAGCCAAAGTCAGAGCCCAGAGCCCAGAGCCCAAGTACAGTAGGCGCCTTAACATGTGTACGTGTGCTTCTCGCGGCTGTGCAACCAGTTCTCCGTGTTGTGCATATCAATGCGAGAGTGTGTGAGGGGGAGGCAAACGCAGAAGGCGGACTGGAAAACAAGTTTTGTTGCATTTTTCAATTGCGATTGAGCGCCGAGATATACATATATTCTCAGATCTCACTCTGTAGTTGGCAGGAAATTGCAAATGAGGCTTAATTAAAATGAAAAGCTCCTCCGAGAAGGCAGGAACCAAAACAAAACCAAGAACCGAGCTGCTGGCCAAGTCATTGACCCAAAAGTCGGACGCAGACAGACCAGTTATAGGGCTGCTTTAGATCGGAACAAAAGGAAAAACGAGAACAAGAGTTCCTCCTTTCGAAACGAGGTTAATTCACACTGATGGCCAAAAAGTTAGGCATACCTTTTCCGTTCACAGAAAATCCTCTCTGAGGGCGCGCAGACTCAGTGCAGGTGTGGCTAGTGTTCAAACCTCTCTAAGTCTCTTTTTCTAACTCTCTTTGATCCCCTCTCTCTTAGGCAAGTTCTCTTTTGGTTTCCCAAATAAAAAACCTGTTCTTCTTGGCCAATACAAATTTGTTTACATTTTTTTTGTGCTTCGTGGCTTGTTGCGTGTGTTTTGTTTGGTTTCTGCCTTTTTTTAGGCTTTCTTCTTCTAAGCGCCGCCGAAAGAAACTTGTTTTTTTCTTGTATTATTTTCTCTGTTGGTTTTTTGGTTCAGGGGGAGGGTGGTGGAGGTGACTTGAGTGTGGGCCAAAACGTGAAACATTCGTTAGCAACAACACGACACACACATACCAGTTAACACGCAAGCAGTTAAGAGCTGGAATTCCAATCTTTGAGAGCTGCAAACCCGAAAATTAGTGAGGAGTTTTAGTTTCGAGTTTTTAAGGGGATGAAGATATGGGAGTTTATTTTTAAATATTTTCTAAAATGGTAGAGAATATTTTTGAGCTGTAATAAAACTAAACTTTATAAGGTATAATATACAGAATTTGTCAAGCTAATACATAATGAAAATTATTTTAAAAAAATATATGATTAAATCAAATTTTCAAACCTCTTCAGGGTACTATAATTTTAGTCAAAAGCTTGTAAAATGTAAAGAAGTTATTTCCGACCCTTCAAATCATATATATTCTTGATTAGAATCAACAGCCGAATTGATCTAGCCGTGTCCGGTCAAAAAATAATTTTTGAATTTTTCTCAAAATTTTATAATGGGTTACATCGTTAAAATTTTCAAAAATTGTCAAAAATTTTCATTTTGAAATTTAGTATCCAGATTTATTAACCTCATAAAAACTAGCACAGAAATGCTTTCCATACTCGAATAAATGAATTTTTAGCTAAGTTATGAGATTTTTAAACTTTGATTTTTCAACAAATTCTCATAGAAAAATATCGCTATGAAATATGGTTATTTAAACTTTAGCTTTCCTAAGTTAGTTTCCTTTCTTGTTCCCAATTACATTCTTTAATGGTTTGAAAAAATCTTCATAAAACAGAGAAAATAAAAACAAACCTCCTTACTTTTGTATTTTGTAACCTTCTCTATAAATAAATAATTACTTATCGTTATCTTAATTACTAAACCGAGAAGGAGTAGTCGGCGTAATCAATTATTGTTTACCTTTTGGCAACCAGAACCTAGACACTAAAATGTTTATTAACTTTCGAACCCTAACTTGATTGACAGGGAGTGTCTGTCTTGTCCTTATTTCTTCCTTCCCTATCCCAATTTGTGGGTATATCTTTCCCTTTTCCAACTTTACTACCGACTTTTTACGCAGTGAAAGTTATGCGTGACCCTTTTTTTAGGGTTTGAGTTTGTTGGTTTCCAGTTTCATTTCAGGTTTGACTTATATTTTTCTGGTTTTCTGGTTGCATTTTAATTGTTATTTATGGGGTTATACAACGCGGGGTTAACTAGCATAACAGAGTCGTCTCCACCTCCGCACGTTTATTGTACGTGCCGCTGGCTAATTTCTGGCATATTTTTTTATACTTTGTTCTTTATGTTGCAATTAGCTTCAATCAATGAGAGGGGACCCAGTGACGACCCAAAACCATGGAGTGATTCCATTGTTGGTTATGAAGTGCTTGAACAACCAGTTCTTCCCCCTAAAATACACAGAGAAAATCATTTGTTATTCTTTGCATGGGTATAAATATAATGGTTTTTTGATAGTTTAAAATATGGGTAATAAAAAAATGTATCCTTGTACATTTTATTTGATTTTCTAAAAAGGAAATCGATTAAAATATTGATCTGCTAAGCTTAACAAATTTATTTATCAATATCTTTTAATTTTATTCTGTCTGTACAATTAAACTAGACATGTCAAGCCCGTAGTAAAGGTGTTCCATAGAAAACCAAAAGAGGTGACAATTGAGGTACACAACTATTGTATCCATTGTGGTTTGGCCTTTAATTAATAAATGAATTGTAATGGAATTATAGATTAAGGTGTCACAGGCCTGCAATCATAGGTGGTCTTAAATATTCATAAGATTTTTGCTATAGGAAATACAAGTCGATTGCTCGCATTCCCAGCTCAAATTTGGTATGCATCTCACAACCTTACCACCTCTATGGTATCGAGGGTAGGATAGAATAAACCCCACCCAAAAATTCCCACACATCCGATCGATCCAATGAGATCATCGCTCATATAAAGTATATAGTATATATGCCCTTAATCAGTTCGGGCTGCACTTCTAATGCCAGAAGTGGATGTGGGAGACCTTCGGTGATCAATTGACACAAATCCACAACAGAATGTAGTTTTATTTTATTTTATTGCACGCTCCACCGAGCATCCAATAACACACATCCGATAACCCAGAGACGGTGGCCAAATAAGGTCATTCATTTAAGCCCGGACTCTAAAATTCCACCAAAAGAATAAATAATTAAATGTTCCAAAACTGAAGATGCCGTTTCCTTTGTAGGTCGAAAGTGTTTCCCAAAAGAACAACAGAATGAGTTACTTGCGTTCGATAGGTACATAAAAACACAACATATCCGGGAGCAAATGTCAAAGTGAACCAAAATTCAATTGAATTAATGGTGTTATTTAATTAATTAATGAATTAATTGTTTAATAATTGTTTTGTGCAGAAATCTCAAGGGTGGAAATGTCGCCGGCAGATGATAATTCCTTTGCCACAACGAATGGCAACAAGAAGGCCACCTACACTTTGATATGTATTAAAATTGTGGAATTGGTAATAGTTATTCCTTAGATATATTATTTTTAAATTAATTATAATATTATTTTATTATTTTACAGTGCCTGCTAATATGCTGCCTGGGCTTGATCGACGAACCGGCCACCAACTCGCACCTGCGAGTGTTCATCACTCCGCGGGTAATGGCTCTGTGCTATGTGACCTTTGGTGCCTTGGTCATCTACACAGCGATCTATCTGATAATGGCACTCTTTGGTGATTTGTGAGTACTACTTAATATTTATTTATTATTCTATTTACAATTAAAAATTTAAAATATTTGGGGGAACCAAAAGAACTCCCTGGCGTACAGCTACTCTATGGTCCCTGGTGGGTTTCATTCTCTTTGTGGCCGTGACCGCTCTGTTGTTCCGGGACTGGAGCACTACCAAGGATCGCAACTACTGGCACCCGAATATGCATCGTCTGGATCTGGTGATGGCTTCCGCTTCGATTTCCTTGGTCACCTCACTGGTCTTCTTGCTGGACATCCTTCTCACCATTCGCTTTGGCGTCCATGGAGATCTGGAATGACATGGACGGACATGGCGTGGACTGTAATATTTATAGCTCCAGCTTAGGTGTAAGGACACACATTCCCCCCAGTCTCCCAGCTAATTAGAATCCCACAAAAAAAAAACAAAGAATTGCCATCATCGAATTGAAAAATGTACAAAAAAGACGACGTCCATGGAGAGAGTTTAAAGTTTTCTACGCATCGCCTGCCCTGTTTTTTTGTTTTTCTTTTATTATTTAGCTTATTAAAAAAAGCATCACGAACGTTTTATCTAAACCAATTAATAAGTAAGAACCCAACACGAGTAAAATTTGCTACTATTTAATGTCCAAAATGAAAAACAAACTGCAACTGCATATATTTTCTTAATGTTTTATTGATAAATTACTTATTATTATATACAAAATTGAAACATTAACGATAAAAAAAAGATTTTTAACTTTTTAACAAGGCGATAAACACTATTCGTTGTGTGTCATAAAGTCACTTGGATTCAATGAAATATTTCTCAATATCCTGATCATTGTTGATCATCTGCAAGCCATGGAAGGTCTCCTTGATGTAGCATTTACCAGCATCTCCGTCTCCTGGAATAATAATTGATTTAATTTATTTTTCTTAGAAAAAGATTATAGTTTATAACATACCTAAGCTGCCTTCACAAATCCGTTGAGTTAGCAATTTTGCCAAGGCTTTAAATAGCTCCTTGGTGGCTATCTTTCGTTTATAGTAGGGATTCAGCCATTGAACTACGTTTTTACTCACATCGTTCTTATGCTGATTTTTCTCTGGTTTTTTCTTTAAATTGGATGGGTCTTTCTCTTCCGAGGATGAGTCCTTCGAAGGTTTCTTTTCTAATAAAGAGTCCTTCGAAGGTCTCTTTTCTGATGAAGAGTCTTTCGAAGCTTTCCTCTCTGCCGAAGAGTCTTTAGAAGCTTTCCTTTCTGCGGACGATGAGTCCTTGGCGGTTGATTCTTTCTCTCTTTTGTAGTCTGCTCCCTCCTTGCCATCTTTTCTCCGGGATCCAGAATCCTTTAAATGCTTTTCTGATTCACTGGAGTCCCTGCCCTTATCCTTGCTAGATCTTGACTCTTTTTGGGAACTCCTATCCTTGTCTAGACACTTTGCATCCTTACTTTCTAACTTATTAGGCTTAACGTCCTTATTATCCAAACTTTCTTCCTTAAGTTTGTTGTTTTCCAACAGTTCTCGGGCTGAAATGAAACCCAGGGTTTCAGTTTTGTAATTTGACTTTTCGAGCTTTTCGTCGTTTTTGAGTTTGTTTTTCTCCAACATTTCGCGGGCTGAAATGAAGCCTATATCCTCGGAGGATTCCTTGCTTTTGTCTTCCTTTGATTTTGATTGCTTTCTGATTTTGCCTCTTTTTCTTCCATCATTTGTCGAGCGGTTTTGAAACCAATAGAAGGCTGTTGATCCTGCTCCTCATCGGATTCACTTTTGAAGGAACCAAAGAGATGATGCATGCTGCTCTTGGCCTTCGTCTTGGGTTCGTGTTGATGGGAAACTCTTTTTCGCCGATGAGTGTCATAGCTGCCATCGCCATTCGCCATCAGTTTGTACTTTCTCTCACCAATTATACTGTCGGGCAGGGGATCGAGTTCGGCATCAGCTTCAGGACTATCTTCATCCATAGGTTCATCTTTGACATGATCGGAAGGCGGGTCTTCAGGAGTTTTATTCCCCACATCCTTCTCAGCTTCTTCAGGTTCCTCTTCATTCGAGGAACCCGATGTTGGTTCCTCCTTCAACTCTTTTTTGAAGAATGAGGAAATGGAAGTCTGCTTACTGTTGCTGCTGTCCTGCTTGAAACCCTTTCGCTCCTTTAAAGCTTTTGGCACTTCCTTGAGACTCTGCGGTCTCTGTTCCTCCAGTTCTTTGAGTTTCCGCTCAAAATAGGCCACACTGCCTCCCGTCCAGACGCCCTTTGCACTAGTTTCCGGTTTGGGAATATAATCAGCCAGCAGAGGCATTAGTTGCAACTTTCCTGTGAGTTGTTTAATAATGGAAATCTGCTTGGCTAAGGCATGGCGGTACATATTGGCCACTTTCTGTTGGCGGAACACCTCGTACTCCATGTCCACGGCAATGGCTTCGTAGTCATTGTATTTTAGGACACTCTTCGGCTGCTGTTCTGGTTCATCCTTGCACTTGTCCACATTGGCTTTCAGAGTATCAATAATGGCCGTTAGATACTTCTCCCTGTGAGTGGCCTGGAGACCAGCTATTTTCTTTTCCGTGGCCTCAGCCTGTCGGATGCGAGAGATTTGGGCCGCCGTATCCTGTTCCAGCTGACGGGCAGCGCTAATTTGCTTGCGCAACTTGAACTGTTGCTTAATGAAATCTTCACTTTCCTTTTTGGCCTTCTTTGCCATCGAGGAGTGGGAGCCGGCGCCTTCAGAGTCAGAATCCCCAGATGCATATTCCTGGGCAGCACGCTTTTGGCCAGGGCGTCCACCTTCGTATAGATCCGCACAATCCTGCAGCGAGATATGGGACTTGAAGGTGTCATCCATGCACAAACGGTGGAACATTTCCAGCGCCTTCTCCGCTTTCTGGGGTCGCCGGCAGACATCACACTGGCCGCTGCAGTCGGGCGCCGGATCCCCAAAGAAGTCGGAAAAGAGTTTGTGCCGGCACGTTGTTCGCTCGCAGAATTCGGTGATCTTTTCAAACTGTTTGATGGCTCTTGCCGTAAGCATTTCCTTATCACCACGACCTCGCGCCCTGTTTGCATCGTTCTGCAGCAGAAATCGTATACTTCGCACATCTTCACGGCCGTAATATAATCTACAAAACGAGGGCAAGCCGTCGCGACCAGCGCGACCCGATTCCTGGTAATAGGCAGCCACATTCTGTGGCACATCCCAATGGATAACGAAGCGCACACTCGCCTTGTCCACGCCCATGCCAAAGCTGTTGGTGGCGCATATAATGGGCTGATCTCCCCGCATCCATGCCTCCTGCACCTCTGTGCGTTCCCCTGTTTTGAGGCCAGCATGATAGGCAACGGCTCCGATACCCTGCTTGGTAACGCCGATCGCCATGCGCTCCACTTGCTCGCGGGTGCGACAGTAGACAATGCCGCAGCCACGCTGGGCCTTTGGCTGCTCTTTGAACTCCTTGGGATCGCCAAGGCAATGCCTGGCAAAGTCTGCCAAGTGCTGGAAGTCATCCTCAATGGAATTCTTGTAGACAATGTCGTAGAAGAGGTTCTTCCGAAAGCTGGGTGTGCAGAATTGTGCCACTGGCTGATGCAAATGCAATTGCTTGTATATATCCTCCTTTACCTCCTTAGAGGCTGTGGCCGTTAATGCCAGCCAGGTGATGTCCGGATATTTGGAACGTAGGTCGCCCAGCTTAAGGTAATCCGGCCGGAAGTCGTGTCCCCACTGGCTGACGCAATGGGCCTCGTCCACCGCAAAGTAGGCTAATTTCTTGTGCTTGTGCAGAGTCTGCAGCAGCTCCTGGAAGAACTTGGTGGCCGCCTGCTCCGGTGTGATGTACAGGAACCTCAGACTGGTCTTCACCGCCCGCAGATCCATAATGACCCGGTCACGCTCCTTGGTGCTCATTTTGGAGTTCAGCGAGTCAGCCGGTACTTTCAGTTTGGTCAAATGGTCAATCTGATCCTTGATTAAGGCGAGGAGCGGCGAAAAGACAATGGTTATCTGGTTCTCGGACATCAGGCCAGGCAGCTGGAAGCACAGGGATTTACCCGATCCAGTAGGCATCGAAACATATACGTCTTGCTTTTCTGAAAGTCAAAATGTTCAGGGTTTATTATTATTTTCGAGATATTGGGTAAGACTTCATGTCCCCATATTCACTTTTCACAGCACATCGCACGGCTCGCTCCTGTAGCTCGGACTTGAACTTTGAATGGCCAAAATGCTTCTTTAGCGCCTCGTTGACCGCGCTCTCCTGGATCATTATGTTTGTTGTTTATTCCCTAACTGCGTTGTATTTCAAATAAACAAAAAATCGGCACAAGAACTCGTTGCCGCCAAAACAGCTGGTCAGTGGTAGGACAGTATGGCCAGAGAACGGAAGCGTCAAAAATACTTAATATACTAAAATACTGATATACTAATTGATGAACCGCGATGTGGACAGCAATCAACGATTGTCATTGTTTTGAATTAACTTAATTAATATAATCATTAATCATTTTGTTATTAATGAAATGTTCAAACTTTAAACAACAACAACACCAACACGAATTTGGGCTTTTCTATTCGATAGTATTCATATTTGGCGCGCATTAATACCAAGTGTTACCGTAGGTAATAATAAAAATCCCTAATTTTGCCAGATCTTGATAGTCTGGCAGCACTGTCCTCGGTCTTTGCCTATATATAGGCTGCCTCCATGACTCTCTGTTTTCTTCGTCAAAAACTTTCATCGCGTAAGCACCTTCTGTGCTGCTTCCTCCGCGGTCTCTGCTTTTCGCGCTTCGCTTTCAATTCGCTTTTCGTCGCGGAGTGTGTGCGTGTGAGTGAGTGTGCGGTGTGTGCTTGTGCCGCTATTTGTTTATTAAATCTACCGAGAAAGCCATGTTGCACTTTAATTGTTACCAAGCTCAAGATGCACACTGAAAAACAACACCAACAACAACAGCAATAATGCCGGCAAACAGCAACAAAGCGGCTTATTAGTGTGTGGACGACCACCGGTGCGTGTTTGTGAGGGTGACGAAAATATTTACCGCAAAAAGGCAACAAACATAACCAAACAACAGCAACAACCTCGCTTTCCTCTCTCTCTCTCTTGATCGCTAAAACAAGTGAGTTTCGGTGGTTCTCAAAATGCAACAACAAATGCAACAGCAACAACGCCTGCACTGCAGAAGAAAAGTGACGAAAACGACGGCAACAACAACAACAGCAACCGCCTGCCTTGTGATATGTAGCAGTTATTTACTTCTTCTGCTCGCCACCCACTTTCCGCTTAGCGTGCAAGCGGACGATGGCTCCCACTCCCTCCTGCCATCAGTTGGCTATCTGGCCGCCCCCAATCCGGCGGGGGGTGGTGGAGGTGGATCCTCGATCATCGATCAATTCAGTCCGAACTGCAGTGCCGTTACGCATATTTTCCAGGCGAGAGGAATCGATGCAAGCGAAATACCACCAAAGCCCAGTAACGGTAAGTGGAGTAAATAATAATACTTGAATTTCTTAATGCAATTAATTTTAGGGGTTGAGTTGTTGTAATCAGTTAATTAAATTGGAAGTAAAATAAAAAATTACGAAAGAATAGATTATCATATTTGAAAAATATTTAAAAGAACAAGATAACAAAGACTGTGTTATGATGTTTCTGTTTGTTTACCTTTAAGTTAAATAAATATTAAATAAAAATTTAAAATCCTTTCTTTGTTACTACTTAATTTAAAGAAGTTTACTAGAAGTTTAGCTAGTTATCTCTTATTGCTGACTCTTATAGTTGTCAATAAAATAGTACACATTTTAATTTAAACAGATAAGAAACGAGGTCTTTGCATTGATCAAAGTGCAAAAATATTTGAAGCGGTTGTCAGTTATAGGAAAAGAGTATGAAATCATAAATTAAACGAATGATAAGTTTAATCAGGGCCACTGAAAATTGTTTTTCAGCAAATATAAAAAAGATATAAAAAATTGTTCATGTTATATTACAAATCCAAGTTAATTTGGCGTTCTCTCAAAATATCCCTAAAAACTAACCCTTTTTGAAACATGATAATGATATGATAATAAGAATTTATTTTCTCATAAATTCCTAATATTTCATAATATTGCAAAATCTTCAGAGATAACAAACCAGTCTGAATCACTACGAAACAAAGGGAACTCTCGCTCAGATTGGCAGATTCCATGATTCATGCCGCTCCTTCATCTTGAGCTCTTTTATTTTTTGTTTGGTGTGTTTCTTTTTGTGCCAACTGCCCTTTTACGCCTTACGCCCCTTGAAGGAAATAAAATTCCAGGCAAATCAACTCAAAGATGCGAATGAGAAGCAGCCAAAGGTAGGCTCTAAATAAAAGAGAGTCCATCGCCGAGAGCGTGTCCATCCAAGAGATCTTGGCGCATGCGTCTGTTGCTCATCCGAATCCCAGGCTCCTTGCCCCCTCTGCGTCCATCTCTCTGTCCAGCATCAAAGGGTTCCAGTTTCCAAGACCAGTCCAAAAGGCAGAAGCAGACGCAACGAAAAATCTCAAGAAATTCCTTTTTGATGAACAAAAAAAAAGGGAAATAAAACGAGAAGAGAGCAGATATGCATACAGTTGGGCCTCGTTAAAGTAGACTAACTTTATTGCAGAATTTTGGAATATTTAATGATATAGAAATGGAGTTCTAATCATATTTCATTTTATATTTTCAAATGTTTTATGAAGTTATAATAAAATTTAATTTAATATTTTATATTCGGTTATATCCCATTGAATTTTATATATTCAAAATCTAAATGAATTTAATTCCATTATTTTATAAGTTTTTAATTTAAAATTCTTGCAATTACAGTTGATTTTAATATGAATTTATTTTGAGCAGTTTTCCAAAAATTACAAAAATATCTTCTCAAGATCCTTGTCTTTACTGTAGACTCTATAAGGATGTTGGACTGTAGGACACACTCACAAAAAGGCTCTTTTGGCTGGTGCAAGAGCAAAAATGTTGTCACACCGCTTTTACACACTGTGCTCCGTAGGGACAAGGGGGCGTTCAAAGGGGGTGGGACGGTACCTAGTCTCGGCCTCGATCGGTCCACGGTTTTAGTTAATTTGTATAAATCCTGAATTAATCACGCTTAATTGCAATAAGTTGCTCGCTCGCTTGCTCCCTTCTCTGTTGCCCTTTCGGTCCCTCTGTTTATCGTTCTCCTCGTTGCCTCTCTTTGGCTCTTTGTTTGATTTGTTGCCAGGTAAACTGTTGTTGTTGTTGCAGCCTCTGCCTTTTGGCCGCTCTCCCTTTTCCCCTTGGCCCTTTACCTGCGCCTTACCTTTGTTTATTTTTGGTTTTCAACGTTGCTTGATTGGTTTTCTTCTCTTTCGCTCTCACACATCTTTCCCATATTCTTTATCTTTTTTTATAAACATTTTTTTTTGGGCAAATGCATTGCGCACTGCGTTTCGTTCATAATTTCATGGAAATGCAGAGGGGGTAGGGGTACGGGGCATGGTGGAGATGGGGCACACAAACACACGCACACACACACGGACAGGTAGAGTGGTCAGTTCTCGAGTTCTCTTTTGTGTTGTCTTTGATATTAATCAAGGTGTCATTGAAATCGTTTAAATTATGCAGTTCAGGATTTTTATTCTCTGTCGGCATTTTTATGTGAACCTTTTACTTCCCGATCCGATCCGATCCGATCCTCTATATGCGTTCTCTCTCGTTCACACACACAGTGGTGTGCAACAAATGCACTTGAAATAATAATCCTTAATCCTTGAATTATTAAGTAAAACTAATTATAATTAAGAAATAGCCTTGATAAAGCCATCATTAAATTATACCTAAAACTAAATTTATTTATTTTTATTTATATAGTATTACATACAAGATTGACTTTTATTTTGAAGATAGATTTTATAATGATTTATTTAACCAGAAACTTAAAAAATATATATTTTTCACACATTAAAAAAAAAACCATTTATGTAGTTTATTAGTCATAAAAAGAATTTGTAAATTATTCAAAACATTTTTAAAATTTTAAAATGTTACAAATTAGATATTATTATAATCGTTTAAAAATTTCTCCGAGTGCCCAGAATCTTTCTTTCTCTTTCGCCGTGTGAGTCATAAATTCTTCTCTTCTCATTTGCTTCTTCCCATACTCATTCTCATTTCCAAACCGATTCTCAAACCCATTTCCCCTGCCCCGTTTTGATTCCAATTCCCTTTCTCCTTTTCATTCACCTGACCCCCCGCTAGCCTCGCCCCTGCCCCTTGCCGCCTTGTCCGCCTGATAAGCGCCAGCATTTAGATAAAGTATCCGACCTGTGTTCCTGTTCCCACAAACATTTTCGAATTGCTTAACCGGGAACTACCTTTCGGCAATAGGTGTTTAAAGGGTTCTCTGTGTCGGTGCTTTGTCGGTTATATATACATGTATGTAGGTTAGCTAAGGTGAGGCTGTGGCTGTCTGATAAAGCTCAATTTCCAATTCAGATAACGTTTTCAAAGAATAACCTGACGTAAGCAAATAGAGAGCAAAAGAGTTTTTTCCGATGATAACCAGACTTTTTGGGGCCCTCATATTGTCTAAGGGAAGTTATGAGACTTTACTTGGTTTACATTTGTTAGAAGAAGAATTGTTTTCAAAGCAAAAATCCTACTAACAGTAAAAACAAATTTAGCTAAATAAGATTCGAAACCATCACCATGTCTATTATATCTACTCAAAGTGAAATTTCGATCAGTCACGATAAATTGTTTTTTTCCCAGCACATTCATCTTCACATCTTTAGGCGAATTCCTTTCATTGAACCATGAAAAACACCAAACATTGAACCCAAAAAATAAGAAAAAAATACAGAAAAAACAAAAGACAGGAGATACCTTCCGTGCTGCAAGAGCAACTACAACAACAGCTGGCACTTAAACGCTTCATTAAAGTTGCACTTCCTGTGCCACATCAAAAAGCTGTGTGCGAAGCCCACTTTAACCCCTGCCTCGACTTGACCATCATCATCATCAACATGGTTGGTAGGCAGGCACTTAGCTGAAATTGTTTGCACAATTTAAACAGTTCACAAAACATTAAATCGTTAAAAATAATATCAGAGAGTCAGGCCAAGAGAGAGAGAGACTCAATGGAAAAGCCAGTTTTTGAATGCAATGATCGTCGGGTGAAATACTCTTACCAATTGATCAGAAAAATCTACACTTCTTATAAGGTTTTAAGGTAGAGAAAAATTGTAAAATTCTTATCTATTTGAATTTTTATTAGTGCCTTGTTTATCCATTTATATTTATGTTCGATTAAGCAGAGTATCTACAGAAAAAAGTATCTTTATCGCAAATTCGATGCAACCAACCAACCATTTCTCACACAGAAAACATTCAACGTTG